CCAAACAAATACACAGGGGTGTGTGTGTGTGTGTGTGTGTGTAATGGTTAAGTATGTGTTAACATTAGATATTGCTACCATAAGAACACATGCTTAATTTCTAGGGTAACCATTAAAAGAATAGAAACAGTGTGTGTAACTTTGAAAAGGATACAAACAAGTGGAGAAAATTAATGGAATTTAAACACACACACACACAAAGCAAGAAATGAGGAAAAAGAAAACAGGATAGCGAAGATAGAAAACAAAAACAGGGTTTTAGATTTAAATCCATACTACAGTAATTGTGGATTAAGTATCCTAGTTAAAATATTAACACATCATACTGGATTTAAAACATACAACTATATCCTGCTTATGAGACATCTAAAATATAAGGAAACAATCTAAAAATCGAAGCTGGAATAGGTATGCTAAGCAAATTCTAATGAAAAGAATGTTAGTAGAGATATATTAATGTTAAACAAAAAAGACAAAGTGAAGATGTATTTGGTAGACAGAAAAGATTACTTCATAAAGAGAAAATTTTCTGTTTTAAATATATGTTTTTAGTAATATAGCTCCAAATATGTAATGGGAACACTGATAAAATTTCAAGAAGTAGAAAAACCAACTGCCTTGGTGGGCAATTACCTTTTTTGTAGTAATTAATAGAAGAAAAAACCTGATAAAACATTTTAAAGGATTTAAAGGACAATCACAATACAACTTGACCTAACAGGTCTATGGTCTATTTAGAATACTGCTTCCAGTGCTTGAAAGAATATATTCCCTACCTCACCACCACCAAGAAACCTTATATAATAATCTTACTTGCCTTGGCCAGTTTGGCTCAGCAGTTAGAGCGTCAGCCTGCGGTCCAGAGAGCCCAGTTCGGGTCCCGCTAAGGGAACGTACCTCGGTTGCAGTTTGTTCCTGGCCCTGGTTGGGTCGTGTGGGTGGCAACCACTCCATGTGTCTCTTCCACATTGATGTTTCTCTCTCTCTCTCTTTCTCTCTCTCTCTCCCCCTCCCACTCTATCTGAACAAAAAATGGAAAAATGTCCTCAAGTGAGGATTAAAAAAAAAAAGAATCTTACTCTCACTGGCTCCATACTCGGCCTACTAAACTAACCAAATTCAGAACATTAAAGAAAACATCAAAGAAAAACAATGAACTCAGTATTTGTATCTTTTATAAAATTTTATTTTAATAAAACAACAGTTAAGATAAAACATAAGTAAACTTAAGTGTTCCCAACCTCTAAATACAATTCACTCTCACAAAGTGAATATATATATATATATTTTTCCACAAATCATTGTAGACCTTCTGAGTAATCATTATGCATGTTATTTTCTCTATTAAAACTAAGTAGAAATTGCACTTACCAATTCCTGCCAATTATATTTTTTCCCTTGAAAGCTATTTTTATTAATTATGCTGATAGGTTTTATTTCTATTTGAAGTACACACTACAAAAATGCTTTTTCATACTATTAGAAAGAAATTAGCCAAAAAATAAAAGTATGACAAAACATTTATTTTTTTAACAGATTTAAAATTAAAGATCAAAACCAGCAGCTTGAAGATATGTTTTATGTTTATTTTTTCCCAACAAAGTCTTCAGAAATTTTTCAGTTGTAAGTGCCTTTAGGTGGGCTTATATTCTCCAGTTTTTTTGTTTGTTTTTTGTTTTTGTTTTTTTATCCTCACCCGAGGACATTTTTCCATTTTTTGTTCAGGTAGAGTAGGAGGGGGAGAGAGGAACAGAGAGAGAGAGAAACATCGACGTGAAGGGACACATCGAGTGGTCGCCACCCGCACGACTGACCAGAGCCGTGGACAAACTGCAACCGAGGTACATGCCCTTAGCGGGAACCGAACCCGGGTCTCTCCGGACCGCAGGCCGACACTCTAACCGCTGAGCCAAACCGACCAGGGCATATTCTCCAGTTTTTTACAGGTCCCTCCAGCTCTCTTATATGATATCTGGCATTCATATACTCACGGTACCTCCCTAGCCTGGTAGGCACTTGAGTTTGCCGATCCCTACTTTGTGTGGCTAAACCGAGAATAACAAAGAATAGTTTCTTCCTATTTGCAGAAAACTTTTGATTATTTTCCAAAATGACCTCTAAAGTGAGTAATGGATTTTTTTCCAAGATAACTAAATGTTTAGCATGTTGATTTAAAAATGTTTGGCTGGCCTTTTGTCAGTGATAGCCTCTTCCCAATAATAGTGAGCTACCTGCTTCCCAATGGAGGGAATAGAATGTAGTATCATGCCGTTGATTTATTTGCTAAGTTATGTTCACAGTAACATTAGGTAATTTTGCATTATCAAATTGTGCATACAGTATACTTATATGGTTCTTTGCAATTGTATATTTGTAAATATAAATGAAAAGACTAAAGTGCTTAAAGGAAATATTATTTTAAAACTATTATATAACTTTCCAGCCCTGGCCAGTTTGGCTCAGCGGTTAGAGCATCGACCTGCGGTCCGGAGAGACCCGGGTTCGGTTCCCGCTAAGGGCACGTACTTCGGTTGCAGTTTGTCCCCGGCCCCGGTTGGTCGTGTGGGTGGCAGCCACTCGATGTGTCCCTTCACGTCGATGTTTCTCTCTCTCTCTCCCTTCCTCTCTCTCCCTCCCACTCTATCTGTACAAAAAGTGGAAAAATATCCTCGGGTGAGGATAAAAAAAAAAACACAAAAACTATTATATAACTTTCCAGACTTCACTTTAAAAAGTATCAGAATACTTTAAAATGTTCTACATATAATTTATAAAATATTTTTTTTTATAGTATGAAAATCCACTGACTCATAGAATGACAGCAGGGAATTTATACTCACTTCTTAGGGTATTAAATATCCAAGACTACATTCTTTTTTTTTTTTTTTTTTTTTTTTATTCAACAAAACTAACCTTTAGTAATGTTAAAGACTTTCTATTTACTACTTTGGGAAATAGTTCTGCAATACTTTAAACGAATGGAAGAATTTGGGAACTTGAAAAGAAATGTTAAGCAGCTCCTGTTTCTCACATCTTTTTTTCACATGAACACTACCTCATATGTCATTTTTAAATTATTATGTTTACTAGTTGTTTGGATTTATTAGAACTATTCTCAGACAAAATAATAGTGAGCCACCTGCTTTCCAGTCAGCCCCTAATAATTTGATATTATGATGCTGTGTTTTATTTCTCCAATTCCCATCATTACTCCTAGTCCAACTCTGGTTTATTTTGATTTTCTTTTTCTTTGTCTAAAAGTATAAGCAGGCCTGGCCACTTTGTCTCAGCAGTTAGAGTGCTGGCCCTCATACCAAAGGGTCTCTGGTTCAATTCTGGTCAAGGGCATGTACCTTGGGCTGCAGGTTCGATCCCTGGCCCTGGTTGGAATCATGCAGTGGGAGACAACCAATCGATGTCTCTCACATTGATGTTTCTCTCTCTCTCCCCTCCCTTCCTCCCTTTCACTCTCTCTAAAAAAAGAAATCAATTAAAAAAATATTCTATGGTGAAGATTAACAAAATAATGATAATAAATAAAATAGACATAACAATATAATAATAAAATAAAAGTATAAGCAAAGGGTACTGAGAGTAATGAATACAAAGATGACCTCTTAAGGACCTTTCTTACTCCAACCTTCCTTCAGCAAGTATTACAATCTAGTTAGTGTCATACCATTATGATTTATTCTACTATGTATCCTTAAAAATAAAAATGACAAAAGCAGTTTAAATAGCAAGTAATATTTAAATTTTTTTTCTGAGATATAATGTAAGAGACATATAAAGAGGAACAAAACCCCCTGAGTTACTTGTTCACAGCCTGATTGAACACTGAAATTGTCTGGGGAGCTTTTTAAATTATCGATGCCCAGACATATCACCCAGAAATTCTGATTTAATTGGTTTGGAGTGCATCCCGGATATAAGATTTTTAAAAACTCCCCAGATAGCTCTAAAGTACAACCAATGCTGAGAACCACTGGTCCATCTGCAGATGACTATCTGTTCTTTGACTACACATTAGAATCAATGCGTGCACTTAAAAGATATAGCTTTCCAGACTCTTCTAGAACTTCAAATTCAATTTGTCTGGGATGGAACCCAGTATTGTTATTGTTTGTTTGGTTGGTTTTTATTTACTTATTTTTACAGTGTCATGATTTTAATGTGAAATCAATGTTGAGAATTATTACTCAAGAATCAAAATGTTTAACATCAATCGCAGCATTGGAGATGATACTGTCATTGTGTTTTGTTTCATTTTGATGACAAGCTATAACCCTTACCCTGCTAGAACTCAATGGCACAAATTTAGTTTTATAACTAAAGTAAGTAAATTAATTGTTTTTAAAATTATTACTTATAGTAACAGTAATAGTATTTTAGGGTATACAGGGAAAATTGCAGTTCTAGATGACCTGCCATTTCATGGTTTTAGATTTGACCTTCTTGTAGTTTTTGGTCAAATCTGTCAATACATTTTTATCTCTAAGTCAGAATTTTCTATTGTTCTCAGACCCTCTGTGTTGGCATAGTGTTGCCATATCGGTTAGATTGAAAGTGACTTTGAATAGCTTCTGCCAATGCTCGGAGTGATGTCTCCAAAAGAATCACAACCTCACGAATACTTTCCTATAATACATAGTTATAAGAATGTCCCCTTTTGAATTTATACCACGGAGAAAAGTATAAGAAATTTAATTATTTTTAGTAATGCCAAACATACAACAAAGTAAATATTTAAAATCCATTCAACTGGGCTTGGGAGGAGATGGTCAGAGACAGGAAAAAAAAAAAAAGAGGTCGAGTCACGTGGCAGATGCAGGGTGCACGGCCAGAGTCTTACAACTAGTCAAGTCTCGCGACAAAGTATGGTGCGCGCGCACCCTCGCCAGTTGCTGAACTGCATACGTCAAGGAGGCGGAGCCAGGACGTAAGAGTCACGTGAGGAAACGGCTGAGGGGCGCGCAGGCAACGTTCGCTCTGCGGGAACCATGGACAGCGCAGCCATGGCCGACGGCGCCAAGCCTGATGCGGACACCGTGCAGGTGCTGCGGGACATGGCCAACCGCCTGCGGATCCATTCCATCAGGGCCACGTGTGCCTCCAGCTCCGGCCACCCCACGTCTTGCTGCAGCGCGGCCGAGATCATGTCCGTCCTCTTCTTCCACACGATGAGGTACAAACAGGCCGACCCAGAACACCCCGACAACGACCGGTTCATCCTCTCCAAGGGCCACGCGGCTCCAGTCCTCTATGCCGCTTGGGCAGAGGTGGGCGACATCAGCGAATCTGACTTGCTGAACTTGAGGAAAATTCACTGTGACTTGGAAGGACATCCCACCCCAAGGCTGTCGTTTGTGGATGTGGCCACCGGATCGCTCGGGCAAGGCTTGGGTGCCGCGTGCGGAATGGCGTACACTGGCAAGTACTTTGACAAGGCCAGCTACCGGGTGTTCTGCCTTATGGGAGACGGCGAGTCCTCGGAAGGCTCCGTCTGGGAGGCCATGGCCTTTGCTTCTCACTACAGTCTGGACAATCTCGTGGCAGTCTTCGACGTGAACCGTTTGGGACAGAGTGGCCCCGCGCCCCTTGAGCACTGCACAGACGTCTATCAAAAACGCTGTGAAGCCTTTGGGTGGAATACTTACTTAGTGGATGGCCATGATGTGGAAGCCTTGTGCCAGGCATTTTGGCAAGCAGCTCAAGTGAAGAACAAGCCCACTGCCATCATTGCAAAGACCTTCAAGGGCCGGGGTATTCCAAACGTCGAAGATGCAGAAAATTGGCATGGAAAGCCAATGCCGAAAGAAAGAGCGGATGCCATCATTAGATTAATTGAGAGTCAGATACAGACCAACAAGAATCTCACACCGAAGCCTCCTGTTGAAGACTCACCTCAAATCAGCATCAAGAATATAAAAATGACCTCTCTGCCTGATTATAAAATTGGTGACAAGATGGCTACTGAGAAAGCATATGGTTTGGCTTTGGCCAAACTGGGCCATGCAAATAAAAGGGTTATTGTTCTGGATGGTGACACAAAGAACTCCACCTTTTCTGAGTTGTTCAAGAAAGAACACCCTGAGCGTTTTATTGAGTGTTTTATCGCTGAACAAAACATGGTAAGTGTGGCACTGGGCTGTGCCACACGTGCTCGAACCATTGCTTTTGTTAGTACCTTCGCTTCCTTTTTCACCCGAGCATTTGATCAGATTCGAATGGGAGCCATATCTCAAACCAATATCAATCTTATTGGTTTCCACTGCGGGGTATCCATTGGGGAAGATGAACCTTCTCAGATGGCCCTGGAGGATCTAGCCATGTTCCGAAGTATTCCCAATTGCACCGTTTTCTATCCAAGTGATGCTACCTCAACAGAGCATGCTGTTTATCTGGCTGCCAATTCCAAAGGGATGTGCTTCATTCGGACCAGCCCATCAGAAACTGCAGTTATTTATACCCCACAAGAAAATTTTGAGATTGGACAGGCCAAGATCATCCGCCACAGTGTCAATGACAAAGTCACAGTAATTGGAGCTGGAGTTACTCTGCATGAAGCCTTAGCAGCTGCTGACCATCTTTCCGAACAAGACATTTTTATCCGCGTCATTGACCCATTTACCATTAAACCCCTGGATGCTGCCACCATCATCTCCAATGCAAAAGCTACAGGTGGTCGGGTTATCACAGTGGAGGATCACTACCAAGAAGGTGGCATTGGAGAAGCTGTATGTGCAGCTGTCTCTGGGGAGCCTGACATCCTTGTCCATCAGCTGGCAGTGTCGGGAGTCCCTCAAAGTGGGAAACCTAGCGAGTTGCTGGATATGTTTGGAATCAGTGCCAGACACATCATAGCGGCTGTGAAATATACTTTAATGGATTAAGAAAGCTGTGTTCTTCAAAAGTCAGTCTGTTGATTTTGGTCTTAAAACCCTGTTAATCTTTATATTGCATTTGTGCTAGATATTACAAAAGCACCATTTATCTCTATATTGTTGTACTTTAAAAAATATTTAATGCTTTTCTTTATTCCTATTTCAGAAATTCAGGTTAACTACTTTCTATTAAACTGTAACTAGATACACAAATATCACTCATTTTTTTAAGTCATTGAAGTAGGTTATGATTTTTAAAATAACAATAGCAAATAAAACAGCTACACCTAATACAGAGTTTTCTGATAAGATTATAAATAACTGACTGGGTTGGAAATCAACATAGAGGTAATAGTTTCTTAAATGTTTGTAATTTCCTTGTAAGAACATGTGAAATTAATTGTAGACTTCAGTGGCCCAGGTTTTGAAGCAAATATGAGCTTTTACGTAACGCAATCCTACCTGCAACTTCCCAGATAGTTTGACTACATTTGCCTTACGATTTCCTCAGAAGTTTTACTTCATCTCTTCTCCATAGTTTAGAGGCTGGAGAGCAGCAGTGAACGTTCTTAATGAACAGTCACTTCCTATGGTGACTGTTCCATAAAGAGATGAAAACATAACTGGTTCTAGTCTGCACACTATATTGTTGAGTGAGGTTTCAAAAATGTTTCATTTTCTCAGTGAGCAAACCAGATTGCTGACTAGATTATATTTATCTACTAAGGATACTAAAGTGAATGTAATAAAGAATTTTAAAACTTCGGCTTTACTTAGTTTGTGCCATGTATGTATGATTTGGTTTCTCTCTTGTTAAGGAAGAAGCTTTTATCTAAACTAGAAGCAGAAAGAGGCATGCCCCTTAACAGTAATCCTGGAAAAAGGTTTGAGCTGCAGATAAGTCACCAGACAACAATATGTGGACTGAAAATCCATCCGTTAAGCAGACTCCTTACTTTTGTTTTTTAAAAAAAAAAAAATTTTTTTTCTTTATTCATTTTAGAGAGAGGATGGATGGGACAGAGAAAGAAGAGAGAAACATCAATGAGAGAGAACATCGATTGGCTGCCTCCTGCATGCCCTCCACTGGGGATTTGGCCCACAACCTGGGCATGTGCCCTGACTGGGAATCAGACTGGCGACCTCTTGGTGCATATGTTGACGCTCAACCACTGAGCAATTCCAGCCAGGCTTTACTTTTAATTTTTTATTCTCATCTTAGAACATTTTTTCCATTGAATATTTTAGAGCAAGTGGGAGGGAAAGAGAGAGAGAGGCAACAATATGAGAAAGACACATCAATTGGTTACCTCCTGCACACCTGGGATCAAATCTGCAACCCAGGTACATGCCCTTGACCAGGAATTGAACCCATGATTCTTCAGTTCATGAAATGAGGCTTGATGCACTGAGCCACAATAGCCAGACCAGAAGTGTTCATTTTAATGTGGTCCTATTTATCATTGTTTACTCTCTCTAGCTGGCACTTTTTGTGTTATGTTTAAAAAAATCTTTGCCTTCCCCAAGGATATTGAAGAATATTCCCTTCTGTTTTTTCTGAAAACTTTATATTTTTATTTTTCACATACAGATCTACAATTCACCTGGAAATATTATGTGTGGCATGTGGTTGGGGGGAGCCAACACAATATTTGACATAATTGTGTAGCACCTCTAAAAAACATCCTTCCGCTCACTACACCAGAGTGTTATCTTTCTCATATATCAGATTACTGTACATGCCTGGATTTTTATCTGTCCCATAGGTCTATTTATTTTTGTGCCCATGCTACACTGTCTTAATTATCACTGCTTTTTCATAAGTCCCAATAATATTTTGTCTTCCATTTTCTCCACTTTTTGTTTTCAATATTACTTTGCCTGTTCTTGGTCCTTTGGAAGTCGATATACATTTTAGAAATAGGTTGTCAATTTAAACAAATATTCAATTGTATTTTGATGCAATTGTATCTGGATTTTATTCCTTTTTAGTATTCCATTTAAAGAGATAACATTATTAAAAAATCCTTTAGGAAGTAAAATTACAGAGATCTCATTAAATTAATTTTAAAAAGTTAGGTTCACAGTCTTAAAACGGAGTGAAGTAGATGACTTTGGGGGTGTTTGGGTAGCCTTTAGGGCGGGAGTAGGTCCTGAAGACTTTCCAAGTCATATGTAGGCATGGAAGATTTTTAAGCGAATCTATTTCCAGATCCTTAAATCTGTGTTTTGTTCCTAAAATTGATCTGCCTGAGAATACTCCTGTGATTTTTTCCAATTTCCTCTTTCATAACTGCCCCTCTTCTTTTCTGAACAAAGCCATACTTTTCACCCATCCTTACTGTCATCATTCATTGCTAGCTGTGAAATCTTTAAAGTGCCAAAGGAACGTTTTAAAATATTGATTCTGGCAAAGCCTTCTTTAATGAAGTCACCATGAACCAGCAGTAAATCATGTGTCTTTTTTTGCCTTTCTGCTAATTTTGTTAAAGGTAAAGCCTGAAATTAGAAAGTTACTTTAATCCATAGGAATATGTTCTGAATATTATAGGTCAGAGTGGTCGCAAATTTTTTGTTTAGGAAGTTTTTTTTTTTTTCTTTTACCTGATAGACCATTTCTCTCCTTTTTTTGTCTTCGATATTCCTCATTATATCTGATGGAGCATATTGCTATCATGTACTTACTAGATTTAGATAAATCTAACTTCAGGTTATTGTGGACTCTCCTATATAAATAGTCCATTTAAGAGATGATCATTAATATACCTGTTGTAAACCTTACATTTACTTTTGGTCCCATGTCCTCTTATTTTTTATGTGAATTTCCACAAATTAGATAAAAATTACTCTTTTTTTATAAACATGTTTTTTATTGATTTTTTTAAGAAAGAGAGAGAGAGAAGTATCAATTTGAGAGAGATACATCTATCGACTGCCTCCTGCATGTCCCCTACTGGGGATCAAGCCCGAAACCCGGGCATGTTCCCTGACCAAGAATGGAACTGGGACCTCTCAGTCCATGGGTCGACACTCAATCCACTGAGCCACATCAGCCAAGCAAAATTGTTCTTAATAGCAAATTATTTTAAGGGCAGGTGCAAGGCAAAATGTCCCCCTGTTACACTCTAGGACAATTTAGGTCATGGTGTCCTCAAGTTTAGAGAACTCACAACATTAAGTCAGAATTAGTTTATCCCTTCCGGATTTGATATGCCATTGTAATTCCATTAGATACATTTAAAAATGTGACATAGCAATTTTATTTTTAAAGGCAATTACAATATTAGAAGTTACATTCTTAAAATAATTAAAAATTAGATGTAACTTTAATTATGAGAATTATTTCAAAACAACTGGTTGGGTGCCCATTTGTACCAGGTAGACATGCTAGTTTAAGAGATGAGTCCAAACCACAAAGGTCATTCTATTCCAAACCAAAATTAGAATGTTTGTAAAATATGTATTTTACAAAAACTAGGATGTTTTAAGATTCCAAGCTAACACAATTAAGATAGCTCTGTAGCAAAAAAAGACTAGCTTAATAATTTTAATTTAATGTTTTTTTAAAAAGCTGTATCTTCTGATTCATCAATGTTAAGTATGTATAAAGCAAGCTTATATTTTACTGAGTTTGCTTTTTCTGAATTTAAGTAGATTTGCTGAGCAGATAGGCTACCTTCACTTTTATATAATGTTTATGATTATAAAAATATTAAATTTCATTCACCTTAATTGAATCACTTTTTGATAAGCTTTGTTTCCAGGCTAATCATGTTTTGTGGTATGTCAGCCTAAAAATAATTTTTAAGATCTTTAGGTAACTTAAAACCTTGGATTGATATTAACCAATCAGAGGATAAACTCTGAGGACAGACTTCTGAGCAGACATCACTTAGACAACTTCCAGACCCTGTCAGTGGACTGCATCAAGATATTCAGGACTCATTTGAGGTGTAAACTGACTACTAACCCAAGACCCAGCAGGACAACAATAACTGAATGAACTGACGAGAAAAATTTTATTGTGGTTGTCTGTTTGGAAAAGCATTGATTTTGTTTTTATTTACTGCTTTTCTGGATATAAGGAAGCTATTGCTTAAGCTATCTAACCAACAATGAAATCATTTAAAAATATTATCTGATTCTCATAGCCCCATTCTTTTCAAAATTGAAAAACTGTTATTAAATCTTACCATTTTTCATGGCAAATTATGGTAGTTATACCAGTAAGAAACTGTCCTCCTTCTGACCAAGTTTTAATCGGTTACATTATGCAAACCAAAGCTGCACCTGGAGTGTCTTATTTGAGAATGTTGGTCATCAAGTCAGACGTGACAAGCCATTTCAAGGAGCAAATACTTATGCACTTGTGAGGACAATGTCTACAAAGTTCTCCCAGGAAAACTGACTTGGTATAGGTGGTAATGACGTTAAGGAACTTTAATAAAAATAGAGCCCTTGAGAAAAGAAGATTTCATTCCAGTTTTTAAATACTAGGCTGAAAACTGGCAAAGAGAATTTTTTGGACTTGGATTCCTAGTCCCAAAATAGCATAAAGGCTTCTTAAACAAATGGAATCATTAGACAACTGTCTTTCAAACACAGTTTATATGCTCATGTAGCTCTAATGCCCTTCTCTCTTTTCTACTTTCCTCCACACTTACACCACAACCAAAATACCTGAAATTATATCATAAAGGCATGACCTCTACCATATGCATGCTTTATTGAACTAGGTACCACACTTTCAGTTACAGTGACAATGACTTCCCTTTGTTGTTTGTGAAAGTAGTTCACGAATTTCCAGTCCAGACTCTTTGTTGGGGGCCACAAAAATCAGATGCTTCTCCAGTACTGTTTCCCAACACAGTGTCATTGCAGGTTGTTTGGCAATACTCTTTCCTAGACATGGCTTGACCAAGTCCTTCTTTCCATTTTGTTCTCCAGGAAATTTCCAATCATTTTGACACTGTTACCCCCTTTTCAAAGTTTACTTGTACCCCTTTTCTTTGCTTCCATCACTTCTCATGTTCTCTAGAACT